ATGTGAAGCAGAGTTTATGGCGGCTACAGAGGCTGCAAAACAGGTGATATGGCTTCAAGAGCTAATGGAGGAGATATTAAGTATAGACAGAGGAAAGTTTATACTTAGAGTGGACAACAAGTTGGCCATAGCACTCACTAAGAACCATGTGTTCCATGGAAGGAGTAAGCACATCCTCTCAAGATATCATTTTATCCAAGAGTGTGTAGAAAACGATCAGATTGAAGTGGAACACATACTAGGTGTGGAGCAGAAGGCAGACGTACTCACCAAAGCATTAGCAAGAGTCAAGTTCAAAGAAATGAGAAGTTTACTTGGAGTAGAAGACATTGTCTTACCCGAAATTCAAGTTAGAATTAAGGGAGAGAATGTAGGATAATCCTAACTTGGAAAGCAAGTTTATCTTTTAAGAAGGTTCTTAGAAGATAAACATAAGGATTTATTTAATAAGTTTTAGATATAGTTTGTATCTAGATAAGATTTATAAATCCCATATCAAATAGACTTAGGAGAAGCTAAGTACTATATAAGAAGAGTCTTTGGAGAGTTGTTTCATAAGACTTAGTTATTAGGTTTGGTTTTGAGAGAGTTTCCAAATCAATAAGAAAAGCTGTTTTTATAATTCTAAGTTCTATTACATTATCACCTTGATATTGCACATCACAACTGATAATGCAAAATCACCAATGATGAAAAGATAGGTGGTGAAAGCATGTCTACTTAGCAAACTAGAGTTAAAACAAGCAACTTTTTAAATATACAATAACTTATCATGTTCTTTTCTACATGGCGCATGCCTTTCACAAAAAACATCCCCGAATGGTTATTCCTTGTTCAAGCCTCACGAGCTCACAAGGTTGAATGCACTTGCCAAAGTTAAAACATTAAATTTCACACTTAAGTGTTTCTCTCTTTCCGTTTCTTAGCAATGAATTTAAGATACATTGGTAATCTATTAAATGACAATCATTGCTCATTATGAATCACAGCTCTATAAATAGAGTTGTTTTTCACCATTGCTTTCGTCATCCTCTTTATTATTGGCGAGTTTGCATTATATGTTATGATGCCCCTAGCATGAAGAGACCAATAGGGGCTACCTCATCCCTTGTTCGTGATTATTCTGCTGAAGCAACTCTGATCAGGATAGATCTTGTGATGCATGTGCCTAAGCGTTTTAAATTATTCTTTCCAGCCAAACAGACATGCAAATTCATTTAGTTATTCTTCTTTGTCTTTGCTTGAAGTCTTTTTGTGTTTTGTGTCTTTAACCTTTTGGTATGATGATCTGGACCAAAATTGTGACAGCAATTTTATGGACCGAGGAGTACACTACAACAAAATCTGGATATTTTCTTGGCTTGGCAAAGAGATGAGATTGAAAATTTCATAGCTAGGTGACTCTTACCCTTGGAATCGGGTAACCAATCAAAGAGTCATATCTTAATATAATGTGTGGTTATTGAAAGGGGAAAAAATGATATTTCAATATCTATCATCTCACTTATGCTTATTTAACTCTTTTGACTTATTTTCTTGAATCCTAGGGTTCTAGGTCCTAACGTATCCTGTTACTCTGTTAGCCAGTTATTTCATTTGTGTGATTGTATAACTAGCCAAGTTGATACTCTGGTTACTCATTTTACTAAAAACTCACTGGTTCCTTGAATGATAGTTATTTGCCTTGAAGCTCTACCTCAAAATATAAACTTGCTTTTCAGCCTACATCTTTGACAACAATTCAATGAATTCTCATTACGCTCATAGAAAATCCATGAATACGCCGAAGAATCCAACACTGTGCATCAAGTTAATGAATTCTAATTTTGTTATCTCTGAACTTCCACAAATGTTCAACCAAAACACAGAAAGTTCAAAAAATGTCATAAGGACAATATGTAGATAGAATGTTAATGCTAGAATTACACTACCCGTATAGAGAAATTAGTTTGGCCACAGGCACGACACTCGAGGTAAGTTTGGTTTTCTCTTAAACGGTGCTGGTCCTTACCAATGACCGTCCTGTCCCATCCGATGACCAGCCTCACGATGGGAATCGAGAAGCTTCCAGGTAATCGGCCTTGCGTTGCTTGCTGAGAAACCGCCGCCGCCTCCCTCTTCAACCCCTGTTTGTGCAATTCCTCTGTCGATGACACCAATGCAAGTAGAAGAAGAGGCTCCGGATCTACCCGTTTCACCAGACCCACCAGATTCAACTATCATTTTTGTTTTCTTGCCCCCATCGATTCTAAATTTACAGACCTAGTTTTGTCGTTGATTTCACTGTGGTCTCCATCACTTTTTCTCTGGCAGATTTGAGGACAAATTTCCTCTAAAGAGCTTCCAAGGGATCTGTTGCAGCGGATAAATATCAAAACAGAGTCTCGAGGATCTATGGATCAAGAGGATCTGTTTGATGCTCAAAATTCTTTGTTAGACAGGGAGAATTCGAAGACTTCAATCAAGAGAAAAACTCTTTATTATTCGATAAACAACTAACTATTCCCGAAGGATTACAAAACCTTATATAGAGGTGGTCTAAGCCGACCTTAAGTCAAAACTAAAGCCCTAATCGATAAATAGAAGTTCAATAAGGAAAAGGAAATAGTTTAAAACCCGCAAATAACCATTAAGTAGAAAACTTGTAAAACACGTAAAAGATAAATTAGATGTCGCTACACGAATTTTCAGTATCATATTCGGCAACATAAGGAACCAAATGCTTCACGTTAAAAACATCACCTGTGTTCATATGAGGAGGCAACTGCAGGCGATAAGCATTGTTATTAATCTTTTCAAGGATCTTGAGAGGACAAATTTTTCGCGACTTGAGTTTGTTGTATGTGCCTGGTTTGAAGCAATCTTTGGTTAAGACTGCCCAAACTAAATCACCAGGTTGGAATTGAACATCACGGCGGTGAGCATCAACATCGGACTTGTATTTAGCGGTTGATGACTCCAAGTTGGAACGAACCTGATCGTGAATGGCAGCAAATTCTTCAACAAGGTCATAAGCTCGACCATGGAAACGTGTACAATCTGGAGTGAGAGCAAGATCTGCAGGACAACGCGGAAGAGTCCTATAAACCACCTGAAAAGGACTGAAACCAGTGCTCTGATTAACAGCTCGATTATGAGAAAACTCAGCCTGGCACAGAACGGTATCCCATGTTTTGACATTGTCACCAACAAGACACCGTAACAAATCACCAAGTGCCCGATTTGTCACCTCTGTTTGGCCATCCGTCTGAGGATGATACGCTGAACACGTGTCCAATTTGGTACGAAGGAGACGCCACCGAGATTGCCAAAAATGGCTCAAAAAGCGAGAATCCCTATCTGAAACAATAGATAAAGGAAGACCATGAAGTTTATAAACTTCCCAAAAAACAGAATTATGACCTGAACCGCGTCAGTCGTCTTTTTGCAAGGGATAAAGTGCACCATTTTCGAGAAACGATCAACAACAACAGAGATGGAATCGTTAGCTCGCTGTGTCCGAGTTAAGCCAAGTACAAAATCCATACTTATATCTGTCCACGGCTGTGTAGGAATCGGAAGATACAGCCCAGCATTAGTAGCTTTTCCTTTAGCCGCTTGACAAATACCACAACGGACAATAAATCGTTCAACATCACGACGTAATGTTGGCCAAAAATACGAACTACTAACCAACTTCAACGTATGATCTCGTCCAATGTGACCTTCCCCATGAAGCTCTCTGGTCAATTGTAGTCGCAAACTACACTCAGGGATACACAATTGTGCACCACGAAACAAGAAGCCATCGAAGATAACATAAGAGGAGCTGACCCCTTGTTCGATATCATGCCAAAATTTCCCAAAAAAGAGGTCATGAGGATACAAATCCGAAAGCAGATCAAATCCTGAAACAGAGACATGTAATGTCATGAGCAAAGAATGACGACGACTCAATGCATCAGTGACCTTATTAAGTGTTCCTGCGGTATGCTTGATCACAAACGAAAATTGATGCAGGTAAGCGAACCAAGAAGCGTGTCGCGTGGAGACTTTATCTTGTGAGCCCATATGCTTAAGGGCGTCATGGTCAGTGTAGAGAACAAACTCGCGATGAAAAAGATAATGTCTCCAATGTTTCACGCCTTGAACGACAACGTATAGCTCAACATCGTAAGTGCTGTATCGCACGCGAGAATCTACAATCTTCTCACTAAAAAAGGCAATCGGACGACTCGCCTGACTAAGAACAGCTCCAATTCCTGATTTAGATGCATCACAATGTAACTCAAATGCCATATTGATGTTAGGGAGAACAAGAACTGGTGCTGTCGTAAGCTTTAACTTGATCTCTTGAAACGCTTGCTCTGCTGCGGGTGTCCAATGAAAAGAAGCAGACTTCATACAATCTGTAATGGGAGCCATAATGCTGCTAAAGGGATGTATAAAACGTCTGTAAAACGACGCTAAACCATGAAAGCTGCGTACGTCAGTGACAGAGCGAGGAGTTGGCCAAGACTGTAGTGCAGTAATCTTCGCAGGATTAACTTCTAAGCCACGTGAAGACACAATGTACCCCAAGAAAAGAACTTGATCCACACCAAAAACGCATTTCTTTGTCGCCGCAAACAGCTGTTCTCGTCGCAAAACTAACAAAACATCACGCAAGTGCTTCAAGTGCTTCAAGTGGTTGTCCAACGACGCACTAAAGATGAGTATATCATCGAAATATACCACCACAAATCGCCCAATGAATGGCCTCAAGGCTTTGTTCATCACACGCATAACAAGCCATTCAAACAACCCTTCTCTTGTCTTGAAAGCCATCTTCCATTCATCACCAGGTCGAATACGGATTTGATGATACCCACTTCAAAGATCCAATTTGGTAAAAAGAGAGGCTGAACCGATTTGGTCCAAAAGATCATCAAGACGCGGAATCGGAAATCTGTACCAAATTGTAATCTTATTAATGGCTCTGCTGTCAACCCACATACGCCAAGTCCCATCTTTATTTGGAATTAGCAACGCCAAAACAGCACAAGTGCTGAGCTCTCACGTATGTAACCCTTGGCAAGGAGATCTTCCACCGGTTTTTGCAATTCATCATGTTCCCTTGGACTCATGCGATAGTGAGGACGGTTAGGCAAAACGGAATCAGGAGGTAGATCGATGCAGTGCTGGATATTACGCAAAGGAGGCAAACCATCCGGTAACTCTGTTGAAAACACATCCTGAAACTCTGTTAATAACGCATGAAAACTGGAAGGAGCTTCAGAGATTACTGATAGGAGTTGCGGTTTGAGACACAGAAGAAAAACAACATCTGTCGCTCTGCACTCGTCAAGAAGCTCAGCCTTTGAAATCAATAAAGCTGGTTTGGGAGTGTCCACCGAAACAGGAGGAGACTCGAGTTCCTTGCTCTGCACGAGGGGCTCAGTTGCAGTTTGTGATGGAAGCAGAGTAATACACCGACCTTCATAAGTAAAACTATGGGTATTCTTGAACCTATCGTGAATAGTTCGACGATCGAAATGCCAGGGATGCCCCAAAAGGAGATGACATGCATCCATAGGCACGACGTCGCAACACACCAAATCTTTGTAATTGAGGCCGATAGAGAACGGCACGCGACACCGTTTAGAAATACGAATGTCCATAGTGGAGTTCAACCAGACAATCTTGTAGGGATAAGGATGCGGTTTCCGTAAACAGAGCAAGCTTTGAGACCGCTTACTCCGAAATCACATTAGTACAACTTCCCGAATCAATGACGAGACGACACACCTTCACGCGAATTGTACATGTCGACTGGAAGATGTTAGTTCGTAGCCAGGATTCCTTGACGCCTTGAGGAGTGAGAAAGTTCCGGCGTAGAACCAATAGAGGACCAGTGTCACCCGCTACTTGCTCATCGACTTCAGTGACAACGTTGTCATCATCACCATATTCATCAAACACAGGGTCATCTTTGGTCAACAACCCTCAACGCTGCAAAGAAGGGCACGCCGCTTGACGATGACCAGATTCATCACACTTAAAGCACTTGACATTGGTCGGACGCTGTGAACCCATCGCCACATTACCCTCTGTCCCATCTGTTAGTTTCAGCTGTTCCATTGACTTTGACAAAGTCTGGTCGAGAGTGGAACTGAAACGAGTGCGCTGAGAGTTCCACGAAGAAGCTTGGTTTTGCGAATGCTGTTCAATCAAGACTGCGCGCTGGTGAGCTTCTGACACTGTTAATGGATCAAACTGAAGTAATGCACTTTGAATTGGACCGCGTAAGCCACCAAAAAAACGCGAGACCCTTTGTTCCTCGTTTTCATGAAGTACATTACGAGCCAAGAGAGAAAAAAATTCAGACGCAGAATCGTCAACAGAACGGCTTCCTTGTCGCAGATCCTGGAGCTTTATGTACATAGTACGAGTGTAATTATAAGGAAGAAAAGCTTTTTGCATCAACTTTGTCAATTTTGCCTAAGACATAATGCGGTCTTTCGCTTCTCTAGCCCTTAACGCTTTTAATTGCTGCCACCAAGCAGAAGCACGCCGATGAAAACGTGTTGCTACCAGAGGCACACACATCAGATCAGGCACTTCTTTAAACTCCAGTAATACCTCGGTTGTATTAATCCAGTCGAGAAATTCTTCTGGTTGGATGCCACCACTGAATTCGGGTAAATCGAGCTTAAAACCAGCTTTCCATCGTCGATGATCACCTGGTGGAGCTGCGATAACCTCGCGCTGGTGGTTAACGCCACAAGGATTCACGTCACCATGCTGACCAAATTGATTTGCAAAGACGTTAACATCTTCTTCTTTATCATCCTCAAAGATAGGTTCTTCACGCCGAGGAACACGTTGTGCGGCGTTTTGCGGTTGAAGAACCGTGCGAAGGGCTGCTTCCATCGTACGCAGAGATTCCCAAAGATTGTCGCTGAACTCGGCTAGGGTTTCACGAAAAGCCTCGTTGTGTTCGTCCAGTTGCTGGTGAAGATTCTTCTTTGGCGGCATGATTAGGATCTATTTGTATCTGATACCAACTGTTGCAGCGGATAAATATCAAAACAGAGTCTCGAGGATCTATGGATCAAGAGGATCTGTTTGATGCTCAAAATTCTTTGTTAGACAGGGAGAATTCGAAGACTTCAATCAAGAGAAAACTCTTTATTATTCGATAAACAACTAACTATTCCCGAAGGATTACAAAACCTTATATAGAGGTGGTCTAAGCCGACCTTAAGTCAAAACTAAAACCCTAATCGATAAATAGAAGTTCAATAAGGAAAAGGAAATAGTTTAAAACCCGCAAATAACCATTAAGTAGAAAACTTGTAAAACACGTAAAAGATAAAGTAGATGTCGCTACATCAGGATCCTCTGGTGAAGAAATCGGCTGGGCATGCTGGTCTAATTGGTCTATGGCCTCTATCTCCTCTAGATCTGCTGTCTCTTCTTTAGCTATCGACTTTATTAAGCCGGCAAGAGCTTCATCTCCGACAAAGTTTTGGATGACTAAACTCCTCCTCTGGTCGTCATTTCCTAGCTTCCAGCACTTACATTCTTACTCACTCGCCACCTCCAACAACGAGAGAAAGCTTCTTGGAGTTATTTTTGGCTGAATTTCTCCACTCTTATGTCATGCCGATGGAGCTTCAAGGACCTTCCCTTCCGGCGTTTCTCCGGTTAAAGAAACTGTTGGCTTCCTCGTCCGAGCCAAGGAATTCATCGTTGAGCAAAACTCCAAATCTAATAAAGTAGGGTTCATTATTTTCTCGCTCTGTTCAATCACTGGAAAAATATACATATTGTGCACCATCGAGTTTGCCGAGTCCCATCTCTTCTGCAGCTCAACAAGCTACGCTTTCTCAAAATTGCACGGCCGCCACTCTTCCCATTTGTTTCAGCTACCAGTATCAGCTGTCTCTGCCACCCTTCCATTTTGCTCATTGTTCAATCTTCCAAGAGAATCCGAGAAAAAATCCATTAACAAGGCTTCCTAGCCCCCGGTCTTTCTCCATTTATGGTCCATCCCCTTGGTTCAAATCAGTTGCTGGCTTCCTTGGTCTTTCGATTGGGATAACCACAAATTATTTAAAATTGGGAATGGCGGTTCAAACACCTTCCCTCTCTTTAAGGGGAAAACAGTATATTTTTCCCCATAACTATGATATAATACACGGTCACCCCAGAGTTTTAACCTCAGTCTATATACCCCCATAATGAAAGTTTAAAATCTATTTCTCCATACGATAGTAGTTCGAGATCTATTTTCCCCTAAATTCAAAGTTCGAAACCTATTTTCCCATGGAGCACGTTTTGAGTTTGTTTACTGTATACCATTAAATTGTTAACCAACAGTAACATAATCTAAACCCCTCTAAGCCCGATTATAACCCGTAAGAACGTAATAAAGCCCACCTGAAACGCGAAACCCAACACCATAAACCGATTATACTTAATCCCCAAATCTGTTCGAACCCTAGCCTAAATCTAAACCCGTAAATTGAATTCCCCAAAATTGAGAAACCCTGCAGAAAATCGAAGTCCTGTTTGATAATGGAGTTAGCAGAGTGGAGAGATGTTCTGGAATTTCGAGAGGAGGATTTCGATGGAGAAGATCGAAGAGAACGAGATGATTACAACATCGAGAAGCCTTGATGGAGTTTGTTGATGAAGATCCTATTCTTCAAACCTAACTACATGAAATTGACCTACTACACTGAGAAATCAAATAAGAAACCTCGGAAATCAAATTGACTTACTACACTGAGATCCTATTCTTCAATCGAACATTCGATTGACGAGTCCTTGGTAGGTCGCCCCAGTGTTTTTTAGTCAGAACGACATGACTTTGTAGCAATAAATTCCACGATCCGTGATAAAAGAAGTTTTTTCGCGGTCTTCTGGATGCATAAGTATCTGATTATAGCCGGAGAATGCATCTATAAACGAAAGAAGTTTGTTACCTGTGGTTGCCTCCACCAGCCGATCAATATGTGGTAATGGAAAACTGTCTTCGAGAGAAGCCTTGTTCAGGTAGGTGAAATCGACTCAAATTATCCATTTGTCGTTCTTCTTTTTGACGATGACGGGATTAGCAAGCCAATCTGGATACCAAACTTCAGTGATAGATCCTTCTTAAAGTAGTTGCTCAACTTTGTCATTAACAGCTTGTGCTTCTTCAGGTCCAAGTTTGCGTCTCTTTTGTTTGATGGGTTTGTATGTTGGGTCGATATTGAACTCGTGGCGTGCCACCTTTGGATCTGTGCCCGACATATCGCTAATTGACCAGGCAAAGGTTTTTATGTGCTTGCGGAGAAACTGAATAATATCTTCCCTGATTTCTGGATCCAGGTCGGCACCTATACCGACCTGCCTTTCTGGGAAGGTCTCGTCAATGCTGACCTGAACTATCGTTTCTTGTGGTGGCTTCTGCTTCTGAGTTATTGGGTCGGGCTTCGAGCTAATAACACAGGATTGACTAGCAGTTTGGAGCTTGCATTCATTAATGTAACATGATCGAGCTATGGCTTGATTTTCACGAAGTGTATAAATGCCTCCTGGAGCCAGAAATTTGACGCACTGGTGATAGGTAGAAGCTACTGCCTTCATTGCATGGAGCCATGGCGTTCTGAGGATGGCGTTGTAGATCGCTGGTTTCTTCATGACAAGGAACTTGACAATTTTTGCTACACCCGCAACGTAGATCGGTATTTTGACTGTACCGACTGTCATGGTTTGCTCGCCCGTGAATCCTCCTAACGGTTCGATATCGGCTTTGATTTTTTCCTTAGGAAAATCCATCTGCTTAAGATGACGTTAACCTAACTGTCAGTGTCGATCAAGATTTGACTCACTTCGACATCGTCGAAGAGTAGGTCAACTACAAGAGAATCGTTGTGTGGCATTTGGAGGCCGATTGTATCCGCTGGCCGGTCCGCTCATCGTTGTTGTGCTGAATTTTGACTTGGTAATTGCCTGTCGACTATACTGTTTTATCCTCCTAACTGAGTAATTGCACATCTCGACTTTTTCCATGATAAAGTTGACTCGTTTCCTGGGTTTCGGTAAATGGGTGTCTGTGTTGTTGTTTTCCCAACCTCTTTTTTGCTGCTTGGGTCGGTCTGGTTGTGGATCATCTGTTTCAGTTGTACCGGCAGTGTCTTGGATCCTTTGGTTTGTGACTATATTAAGTCGCTCTTGCTTTTCATTGTTGCATCGGAAGGGAGTTCGGCGAACGTCATCCATCGAGATTAATCCTTTCCCGAATTGTTCCAGAAGGTAATCTTTCTAGTGTCGGTATTCTTCGGTGCTGTGTCCTTTATGGTTGTGGAATTTGCAGAAGAATGTCTCGTCTTGGTCGTCGTTATCGCGAATCCATTTATTGTTCTATGGTCGCTGTGGTTAAGCCGAGTTGACATTGTAATTTGCGAACTTCCATCGATTGTCGAATCCTCTGTCGTAGGTCGGACGTGACTCGTTATTGTCATTTTCAGGTCTCTCTTTTGTGTCGACCTGCTTTTGTGAAGCTTTGCTCTGATCATAGGCGGCCTCCTCTTCTTCCTCTACAATATACGAGTTTGACCGATGTAGTGCATCCTCAAGTGTAAGCGGTGTGTTGTGTTTGATCGCTTTGTGGAAAGATGACCTAATC